TCAATCGTTTTCTTCATAAATTTCAGCAAAAATATTGTCATTCAAAATCCAGACTATTATATCATCCTCTTAGAGAAATATTACACGAGACTCGAAAGTCGAGTATACAGAATTGATCGCGCTTTGCCTCAAGTTTTTGTTACCCCCGAGAAATTAAATTGTAACATACGCTTAATTACGGCGGGTCTGTAAGAAAGTGATTTCCCACCGAGTGTGCGTCAGTGCTGTGTGCGGTTTAAATACTCTCTTCATATTAAATTTAAGAGTTTCCGGAGTTGCGTTACGACGGTCTCACATAAATGGCCGAGTTTGTCCATAAAAATTAATGCAAGCAACCTTCATTTTCCGCAGCCACGACGAATTAGTGGTAAAAAAATACTGGTTGCATAAGAGAATTCGCGTAACCAGAAATGCAGATGTTTACTCATTACGTAGAAAAGAGAAATATTTTTAATTGTGTTGAAATGTATCATATTATAAACATAAAATAACAGAAAATAAAATATAATACATAATATATTGATTTTTTACGTGTGTATGTGTGTAGGTAATTGAAATATATCACATATATGCTTTACGTAAAAGTATATGAATTTAGAGTACAAAAATTTATTTCAATACACGTAAAAATGCAAAATGGATATAACGTGCCCTCCATGATGGTGAATCTCATATAATGATAATTTTTCGCAATAAAGAGTTAAGTTGCACGCTAAATATTTATCTTCGTGAAAAGGCAGAAGGGGCGTGACTCACGTAAGAAGAAATTATCGTAATACGGAAATTCATGTGGTAATTGTAAGTTATCACCGCTTCCGACAATAACCACTACATCATCGTCGCTGTGCAGCAAAGAACTATGCGAAATGACGTTTTGTAATATTAAATTTATGACCGACGTTTTTCCACAAAAACTAACATTCTCACGTTGATGAGTATGTTTACGCGCGTTAATCTCTCTCTCTTTCTTCTTCCAAGAAAACTATTAATAAGCCGCGTATTTATCTCTATTTGCGATTTCCTTGGCGTGGATATAAACGTTCATTAATTAACGGAAACTTGCACAGCGCAGCATAATTAAAAGTCGTGCACCAATTCCCGTCTTTTCGTATGTATTACTTTCAATTGCGTGATATAATTAACAATTTTCTTTTTGGCGTGTAATCGAATTTCTTTCACAGATACGTGAACTTGAGTGATACTTCTACGTGTAATATAACAGTTTTATTTATATATTTGAGTCTCCCCCTCCTCCTCCCCCCCCCCCCCCCCCTCACACACCCCCAGTTTTC